GACCAAGTCTAGCGTCTTTTGTAAAAGCCATTCGGTGCAAATAAGGTGTCTTGAGGTGATGGGGCCGGGGTCTATAAAACCATATAAAGTGGCTAGATGTGTGATGAGGCCCCCCATAGCGATTGGTCCTGTTGATGTTGCCACGTTGTTGAAATGAGTCCATAAGATGGTGGCAACATCAACTTGATTTGGGCCCGGCAAAACAGCTTGTGCTAGAACACACACATCCCAGATACGTGTGTGATGATTATTCGGTCTTCCGAGGAAACAATTTGAGCAAAATTTTAAGAATAGTCGGAAGACCGGATGTTGCACACGATTCACACTCAGTTTAGATAGATCAACCACATTCTTTCCGGTCATTCTTCTCCACAATTCATACCCCACAAGAGAATCATATGTACGTGCTTCATCAAACCATGGGAGACCAAAATGTTGAACAAATTCTCGTTTGGTTAATGAACGATCCTCATTTAGTAAACGAAAGGTGATTATGTCATTTGCATGATCATTCACATCTTTTGTATACGCAAATGAGCTAAAAAATTCATACACCAAATGAGGATATGTCACATATTGCATTTCAAACATTCTAGATATTCCAATTCTTGCAAATATGTCACGCATCACAGTATCAATCCATAGTAGTGCTAAAGTAGTTAAGCACATAAAACGGGATTGTTTTACCTCCCTTTTTGCTTGGTTGATGAAGTTGTTCCGTTGAGCCTCCGTAGCAAACTCCACGCTCTCATAGCCCGCTACCGGTGGGATAGCTCGATTTCCCCTTGAGGAAGAGGCTTTTGGCTTTCTTGGAGCCATTGAAGTCCACTTTTTTTTTTTGGATTTTTTTTGTGATTTTCGAACTTGGGTAGGGTGGGGTTTGGAACTTTGGGATTTTGGTGGGTCTTGGGTATTTTGGGGTTGTGAGAGTGGAGAGGATGATTATTAGGAGAAGAAATTGGGATTTCTTGGGATTTTTTTTATATAAAAATCGGAACTTTGAGGGATTGGGGGTTAGGGTTTCGGATTTTTGCAAATGGGGAAGAAAATGGGATTTTATGGATATGGGTGCGTTGAGAAGGTTGAGGAGATGAAGATTATGGTGTTATTTAGTGGATTTGGTGGAGAAATGGTGTAGAATCGAAGGTTTTGGTGTGTAAAAATGGAGGGATTTGATGGTTTTTTTCGTGGGGAGGAAGAAGAAGTGGGAGGGGAAGGGGGTGAGCCCGACCTGGTTATGTGCTAATTTCCCGTTTACCCGGTCGGGTGAAGTCTTACGCCCGGTCGGGCTGTGCGGTGTTTTCTTATCCAGTAGCTACTGGAATGACTACCCTGTCGGGTGCTTTAGAGTACCCGGTCGGGTCTTTCTGATTTTTTTAAAAAATAAATTCGTACCCGCCCGAGTTTCAGAAATACTCGATTGGGTATGCATTCCAGTGTGTTCAGAGCCAAAAAATGCGCAGACCCGGTCGGGTTTTGGAAGCCCCCGGTCGGGCATATGTTTTTTTTTGTTTTTGTTAGCAACCCGGTGGCCGTGTTGCCCGGGTATTCCTTTTTTATTAATAAACCCGACCGGGCTGTTTGAGATACCCGGCCGGGTTTCAGTCTGGGCTCATTTTTTTTTTTTTTGAAAAAAAATTATAACACACGAACTGGAAAAAATGAAATTAAAAATAAAAACTTGGGTTGCCTCCCAAGAAGCGCTTGATTTAATGTCGCGGCACGACGTTATCTTATTTTTTTATGTGGGATCGTGAACATCCCTTGTTTCATTTTTCCTTTTCGGCCTTCTCCAGTAAGGCCGGGATTTCTTTTCTGAAATCACTTCAATCCCAGGTGGGATCCATTCTCTTTTTGAAAATTTGAATAATTCTTCTTTTTCAAAAAGTTTGATTTTCTCATTTTTTTTCTCAACAAAAATATTCGGGGTTTGTGGTTCACAAACATTTAGAGCACAAAGAGATTGGTCTTTAATTTGTTTTTTCGTAGAATCAAAAATGTTGAATTCTACCTTTTGATCATCAAACTCTAAAGTTAATGAACCATCAGCCACGTCTATTTTTGTTTTTGCGGTTTTCAGAAAAGGCCTACCCAAGAGGATGGGTGTAGTTTTGTTATCATCTCCCATTTCCAGAACATAAAAATCAACGGGGAAAATCAAATTTTCTACTTCTACTAGCACATCTTCTACTACACCCTTCGGGTAAGTATTAGACCGATCCGCTAGTTGAATCACTACACCAGTTTGATGTAGTGGGTCGAGTTGTAAGGATTTATATAAGAAAAAAGGAATGACATTTATTGACGCTCCTAAATCCAACAAGGCCTTAGAAAATAAGGTATCCCCTATTTTGCAAGGAATAGTGAACATGCCTGGATCGCTACATTTCTCAGGGAGTTTCTTTTTAAAAATGGCCGAGACACGTTCACTCACTTCAACTTTTTGTTTCCCTTCCAGTTTATTTTTCTTTTTCATTGTGCATAGTTCCTTTAAGAACTTTGCATAACGGGGAACACTTTTGATCAGTTTGAAGAGTGGGATGTTTACCTCAGAATTGACGAATGTTTCATAGATGTCCCGATCATTCTTCAGCTTCCTCGTGTCTTTCAATGCCTCAGGGAATGGAGGGAGTGGTTCATATGATGACAGTGGAGGGAATTTAGTCTTCGTTGGCTTCTCCTCTTCCTGTTGAAAGACTTCTTCAAGATCAACCTCTTGCTTCTCCTCCTCAACTTCCCGTGGTTGCAATTCTTTACCGTTCCTCAACATGATTGCATTGACATGTTGTCTTGGGTTTTGCTCAGTTTGGGAGGGGAGCCTACCCGAATCTTTTGCTTCAAGTCGACTTACGGCATTTGAAATTTGGCTAACTTGAGTTTCCAAATTTTGAATGCTCGACTTGGTTTCATGTTGGAATTGCATCATGGTTTGTTTGAATTGCCCCATACTTTGCTGCATTGTTCCCATATTAACGGCCAGCGCTCGAATCATGTCTTCGGTGGACATACTCGAGTTCGATGTTTGGCCTTGTGGTTTGTATTGTTGAGGAGGAGGATTTGTTTGAGAATTTCCGTACCTTAAATTCGGATGATCCCTCCATCCCGGGTTGTAAGTATTGCCTTGAGGATCGTACCTCCTTTGACCTTGGAACCCCAAGGCATTGACTTGCTCGGAGTTCTCTTCTTGTAGTGTCGGGCAAGAATCTGTGGGATGCCCTTGCGTTGAACAGATGCCGCAGACCTTGACTTCTTGGGTTTTTGGATTTAAAAGGAAATCTTTAACCAAAGAAGTCAAGTCGGCTACTTGACTTTCCAACGAGTTGTTGGATTCTGCTGCCATGACTCGTTTCGATGATGACCTTCCGTTGTAATGTCTCGAGTTTTCAGCCAACTCCGAAATGAGGTCTCTTGCTTGAGAAGGGGTTTTGTTAACAATACCCCCTCCGCATGCCGCATTCACCATGCGTCTATCTTGATCAACAAGTCCATCATAGAAGTAGAGGATGAGATATTGTTCTGAATACCCATGATATGGGCAACTAGCACATAATTTTTTAAAGCGCTCCCAATATTCATATAAGGTCTCATTATCCGCTTGCTCAATGTTGCTGATTTGCTTCTTGAGACTTGAAGAGATAGATGCGGGATAGTACCTGTCAAGGAAGCTCTTTTTCATTTGAGCCCATGTGTTGATGCTCCCCGAGGGAAGATAAAATAACCAAACTTTGGCGGTGTCTTTGAGTGAGAATGGGAAGGCTCTCAGCTTGATTTGCTCCTCGGACACGTCATTGGGGCACATGCTTGTGCACACAATATGGAACTCTGACAAGTGTTTATTTGGATCTTCCCCTCGTAGGCCATGGAAAGAGGGAAGTAGATGAATGAGCCCAGATTTTAGCTCGAATGTGACCCTCGTATCAAGAGTTGGAAAAGTGATACATAAGGGTTGTTGATTTAGATTCGGAGCCGTCAGCTCCCTCAGCGTTCTTGTTTCCAGGGCCATGTGGAAGGACTCTTCGGATTCGCTAGAATGAGAACTAGCACTTGATGATTCCTCCGAAGAAGTATTCGGAAATAGATTCCTGAACCCCTCGAAGGCTTGTTATGTTTCGGGTTTTGTTTGGTAGGTGATTTGGTTTATAGATCGGTGTTTAACCATATACTCAAACAAAGCTCAGCCAAAATAGAAATCTTTTAAATGTTTTTTTTTATTTTTCTTGAAGTAAAATAGAAAGAAAAATAATTGCCTATCCCCGGCAATGGCGCCAAATTTGACGAGCACTTTGTCACGGTGCGTCAAAATAATTTCAATACTAAACACTTATACGTAGTATAGCGTAGTAGAGTTCGTATCCATAGGGAAAGGTATAATTCTCTTTCTATGAATTTTAGTAAATAAAAGGGGGGATTTGGGTTGAGTGATTTAATTTAATTAAAAACTAAGATGAACAACCTATATGTGTTTAATTCAAGAATAAAAGGGACTTGGCTTTGCTACTTTCCACTTGTTGATATATTTTAGTCGATCCTTGTTATATCTATAACTTATCCCCTCTCGAATACTCAATCAAGGAGTATCTCCAATTCATCGAGGGTAGTTATTAACAACGACCGTTCATTAATAACCCTTGCTATTAACAAATATAGAACAACGCCTTATACCGATATAATAGTAGCATTCAATCTTTTTAACTCCTTGATGAAATCAATTGAGATTGATAACCTTAACACAACGGTTTCGATTTAACCAACAAAATTGATCCCTCTTAAGTCTATTAACCACGACCGTGCATTAATAAACCGAAGTTACTTGTGAAACCACCAACGATTAACCATCGGTTCGTTGATCGTTTCTAGTAGTAATTAATGTCGGAACGTTAACTAATCGTCACTTAGCAACCCTCCAACATTAATATAGAATGAGATTAAGGGAAGAATTAATAATCAAGAGAATAAGTTAAGAAAATAACTCACAACTTTAATAATCAACAACCTTCAAGAGCAAAACCAAGAATGGAAGTTTAGCTCCTCATTTGGAGACTAAACATAGCTAGAAAAATATAAAGAAATGCTATTCTAAACTGAGCTAAAGAGAATGGAAGAAGGGATGATTTTTTGTGAAGAAAAAGTGTGCTATTTATAGGTGTTTTTCAACACCTTTGGCCGAGTACCCGACCAGGTATAGGTACATACCCGACCGGGTACCGGTCAAAATCAGATAATCTTCCATGTTTTTGTGTTCCAGCACGTTAAATTGTCCCGGGTCAAGTCAGACACGACCGGGTCAAGTAAAGGACCCGACCGGGTTTGGTCTAAATCAGATTTTTCCAAATCTTTGTGATCTTCAACATGTTCTGGTGTTCCGGGTCATATCTGACCCGACCGGGTTGAGTAAGGGACCCGACCGGGTTGAGTAAGGGACCCGACCGGGTGAGTGCAAAAATTGGACATTCTTCACGTTCGAGTGATCTTTGCACACCGGGTTGTCCCCGATCACTTCTCACCCGACCGGGTGAGGTAGTGGGCCCGACCGTGCCATGCACTTTCTTTGCATTTTCGTTTTTCACTTCTTACCCGACCGGGTTAAGTGTTATACCCGGTCGGGTATTTGCTCCTGGGCAGCCAAATCTTCTTTTTCTTCACTTCAAAGTCTTCCTTTCCAACACCACAAATCCTAACTAAACTTTACAACTGACAAAAAAAAACTAAAATACAATTACAACTGAAATCACATAAATGTTTACAAACTAAATAAAACGTCAAACAATCACCATCAATGAAACATAAAAACATACAATTATGCACTACTAATTAGTGTGCATCATGTACATAACACAATGGTATACCCTAAAACTAAATAAGTAAAAAGGAGAAGTCAAACGACGGCCAGAATAATTAAAAGAAAGTGCTAATACACAAATAATACAAGGCGGGAAAAAATCCAAAAGATCAAGAACGTTGTATTCATCTCCTTAGATTATTCCACCATATGTAATTTGGGTTTCAACTCTCTTGCTGTTCATCCCTATTGTTGTCACCTCATTAGGCCAGGATGGCCTAATGTAATTTGGGTTTCAACTCCTTAGATTATTCCACCATATGTAATTTGGGTTTCAACTCTCTTGCTGTTCATCCCTATTGTTGTCACCTCATTAGGCCATCCTGCTAACCCTTCTCTTCTGAGGCTAATTTCATCTTATCGGATTTTGAGTCATACTAAGGTCATCAATTCTGCAGCTTCTGTCAGTGGTAAACAACATAACAAGAAAATGAACCTGCTCAGCAACTTTCTTCCTCTCTAGCCACCAATCCTTCTCTAGTTCATGGTTATTATTATAGTAATGGCTCATTTAACCAGAAGTCTCATGTAACTACAGTTGCTAGGAAAGGATTCAAAAACTAAATAAAAATAAGAATAGGTAAAAGAAGAACATTTCATTCAAACTATCAAGTATCAATGAAGGCGTAAAGCTCCAATAATGTAAGTTGGTAAACCAACCAAAAAAGTCTTATGATCCTAACAGAGTACATGGCTTGTGCTTTCAAAAACAGAGAAAGATAAATTGGTTGACAGAATTGGCCCCACTTCAAAATTATTGTTTTGATAAAATAAAAATGACCATTAATTCTTTGAGGACTTTTCTCAAACACTTCACTCGCAACCTTCCTTCCAATATTAGGTTACTCAAACTCTTTACACAAAATTTTCATCGTTTATCCAATCAGGCATACACAGACAGATGTCAAAGACATCAGACCATGAAGGTGAACGTGTAACCACTCACCAACATCAATTTATTACTTTTGCAATCATAATTTGAGATTATAAAATACAAATTATATACCCTTCCGAGTTCTTGATGATCCAATACGGCCTGTAGCCTAACCTGAGGATGGAAAATCCTTTTGAACCATAACCAACAAGTAGAACCCCATGGTTGAGCAGCCTCTTGCTACATATGAGTGGGCATGAAACACCTCTCATGTATGTCTGCATGTATCTTGATTTATCTCCACTACATTTAGATACCATCATGTTTCTATAAACTAAAGCAATTAGCCTAAAAAATAATAATTATAAAGCTAAGCCGGTTTAACACCTCAGACTAATTCATCTCCTTTAGAAGCTAGTATCAATAGAGCACTTTTGGCTCTCAACTAAGAGTCAAATCTGTTGTAACTTATGAAAATCGATTCAACCAATCAGCAATTCTCACACTCATATAAAAAACACAAAGCATAATTAGAATATTACTAGCAAGAGGACCATGATTAACCAAATAAGCAGCCATTTGGTCCTCATCAGCAGGAACTGTGGTGAAATTCCCAACCTTGACCGCCACTTTCTTTGATTGAAATTTGCATTCGCCGCCTTTTCCATTGCAAGGATAAGAGGCATCTTCCTCTATACCTCCAGACTCTATCAGATACTCTATCAGATACTTGTAAGCATTTTTCATAAGACCTCCTGAAATAATGCGAGACTACGAGAGGGAGGAGAAAGAGGTGAACAGAAGATAGCTTTACATTCCCTATGATCACCAAATGGAGAAGAAAAACATATAAGCATTAGAGAAGTGCTAAGAAAATTTAGAGGTTGCCCATGAAACTTAGGTGACTTAAAATAAATGGACTTAATACCACCTTGTTTAACCTTACAAATTGCAAATGATCTCTGCTCCAAAGAGAATAGAAAATTAAATAAACATTCGATCACACCATAAAACTTATTCCTAATGCATTATATTCATAAGCTACAACCTTCTAAAGGGCATAAATTGCAGAAAATATCGAGGAAAGGAACAAGATGATTTTTAAAGAGAAAATTGTAATCAATTATTAGAATATAGTAGATGGAAACCTAGAATACATTGATTCATATATGTGCATAGCATAATTTCTCTGTTATAACAACTAAAACAATGATTTTTTAATTCAAAAACTAGTCAACATGTACATATTAACTACTAAACCAATCGAGTATATTAAGAGCCAAGACTGCTAAAAATAAAATCGAGAAGGTACGGGGTTGAACAACCTAACTTTTTTCAAGCTAATCCATATTTTCTGACCTAGCCAATAGAGTTTCTTCAAAGATTTAAGTGAAAATCGGTTTTTTATTAAACCAACAAGCAACCTTAGTCCTTTAGCAACTGCTTGCTTAAAGCCATACTCAAATTCTAAACATTCACGCTCTGCTTCCTGATTCAAGCGGCAGAAACAGAAAAAAAATAAGTTGAGGCAAAAATGAAAGTTGGAATAATCTATACATGAACAAAAAGTCTCTGGAGCGTTGCAAAAAGTGTAGTAAATACCTGCAATTTTCATTGACTTCGTCGTTACCTACCATACCAGCAATTTTCATTGGCATACCTGCAAATCAAAGGAGGTAAAGATAGAAGTGTTGAGCTAAAGATCAAATACTTGCTGGCTAGCATCTCCGTCCGTCAATTGGCTAGTCTTGAGCTTACTTCCACTGTTGACAAATCTAGAAACCCAATTCTGAAAATTCTGTCTTTGTTGTTTTTCCATGGTGGGGATGGCTGAAAATGGCGAGGAGAAGCTGATAGCAGTGACCAGGCACATAGCGAAGACTCTGGGTCACATTGATACCGTGAATGCTGATATTATTCAGATTTTCTCCAACTTCGATGGTCGGTTGAGGGAGAAGCTCACCGAGGACAACTCTCGCAGCTGCGCTGCACTGGAGCGGACCCTCAGGTCCCTGGATCGTTAGATCTCCCGGTACGTGTTGGTGGAGCATCCTGTTTGGTCCGATTCGGCGGATTCTGTGGCGTTTCTAGAAGCTATGGCCAGACCTCCCGGACAATCGCTGAATGAAGACTTGTCGAGGAGATGGAGTCACGTTGCGAGGCCAACAAAAAAAATAGATAAATGGATGGAGATGGAAGAGTTAGGGTTAGAAAGAAGCTAAGGGAGAGTGTTGGTGGAAGAGTTAGGCGATGCCGGCCAGTAAGTAGTATAGCGAGTTCAAAGAATCCGTAAAAAAGGGTGTTGCTTTCGGCACCACAAAAAGTGCTAAATCTAACCACACATTTGTTCTTAATTATATACTTCGTATACTACAAGAACTGCTCCCCAGGCTCTCAAGTATACTTCGTATACCCCTTTTTAAATGGTTAATGTATAAAAAAACTCTAATCTATTAATATATAAAAGCAAAAGAATTTTATGAATAAGACTCCCGCTAAAAAATGTCAACATCAAGGCAAATAGTGAAAAAGATGAATAAATAAAGAAAAAAAAGAATAATCCCAAGTAAGGGTGTCAACGTAGCGTTAACATAATGATACATCCACAATTTATGCGTGTAGACTTTCCCAAGCATTATTGAAGATTAATATATTGTGATTGAGTTACTGTTTAGATTGATTTAATCCCATTGGTGGAATTGGGCGGTGTACAGTGAGTAGTTTGGACACTTCGAAGACAAGTGGGTTGCAGCACAGTGTATCCACAGTAATCGCATTTAATTTTATGTGTGAGCTTTCCCGAATTGCAATTTCATTGGTACTCTCTCCCCATGTGACACTACATATCCTCGAATAGTCGCGTCAATTGATCACACACATATGCTCAACCTACACGCCAAAATCAATCTTATTACTCGGGAAGATTACTCAGGAAGGGTTGATGTTTAAAATTTGACTATAAATACTGATTACAAGCATATGGTTCACTCGCCCCAAGCTCATGCAAGCAAATTCTTCACTCAAGCTCTCTATATATCATCAACATAGTGTAGCTTTTAAGTTTTCACCACAGGTTGAAGTTTCTCATGTGCAGCAACACAGAATAACTCATGCTGCAGTTTCTGGAACACAAAAATCAACAGGTTGAAGTTAAAGATGTCTCAAGGATAGACATAGACATGCATTTTCCCTATATAAAAAAAGACAGAGACATGTGTTCTTTCCGTGAAAAAACGATTGAACAAAAATAATTTGCAAATGATTTTGTTGTCGACTTTAATTTCGGATGGCTAACATGTGAAGACTATTTGTTTTTAATTTCAGCATTTTAAGTTCAGATCTTAGCTTCTTTTATCGACCTGTGTATTAGTTACCGGAATGGCTAGATCTTTTTTGTATTATTATGATTATGATGATGTTAGTGGTTCAAAAGTATTTATGTGACTCTTGCTCATTGTTTGTATCTTTGTCATAGATTTTTGTTCCTACGTGATGTTATGTGCTACACAACATCTGCAACAACTATTTTATTTCATATTTTCGTTCCACCTATATCTACAAAAATGCTAATGAATAAAAATATGTTAATTACAATAAATTTTGCAGGATTCATAGATTTACTACAATGTGTGTATCCTTATATACTTCAATATTTAACATGGATGTGATAATATATAAAGGTTTTAAATAGATGTGATAAAATATAAAGGTTCCAAGCAACCCGTAATTGTTCATTTGTTCAAAGCATAACTGGATGTTGCCACTATTCTCTCAATATTACAGGCATATACAGGAGATTCTGCAAGCTATTATAGTCACCCTTTAAACCAGTTAAGTTTTAAAATTAAATGCTTACCAGTAACCGGCTTTGTATTGGTCATTTTGTTCTCCCAATAAGCAACTACTGGATTGATTCTTCAATTAAACTACTTGTGTGATGTTCAAAAAAGATATCATTAGATGTTTACTGCTTTAAAACAACAAAAAAAGAAAAAAAAAACTCTTATGGTTGTTTACACAGGCTGGTATGGTCATTACTAGCTTTTTGTAATTGTTTTATAATGTAGAAGTATAAGCTATTGAGAGTGGAGGGAGAGATTGAATATGGGGGCTTTGTGGTGGATAGACCCAACAGTTGAGTCTGTGACACAAAAAATTTTACTACGTAAAATATTCTAAATTTAAAAGCAAGTAATTCTTAGAAAATAACACAATATATCATTTCAAAATTGATATTAGAACACTTACTGCTAACTTAAATACTCATGAGTCATAAATTACAACAATGTTGTGTGTCGATAGTTCTCATTTGCCCACCTTTCTTCCTGAAAATTGCAACCATCTAATTTAACAACATATACATATGTCGTCAACTACCGACTCACCAATGTAAGAAATGATATAAATTTCAGGATCTCTAACATCCATTACATATGAGTCATCACACATATATTTATAAAAATGCTTACTATTGAGGTGCTTCTTCAGTCATAGTAGCTTAGTGACCACCGGTGGGTACAAAAATTTGTGAATTAGGACGCCTGGCAAGAAAAACAAACCTGCAATCATCCAAGATTTAGTTCTTTGTTTCCATTGTTATCCCTAGAAATTTAACTGGACAGAGCTTAAAAAGACAATAAGTCTATTTATTAAAAAAGTTAAACTTCCATGAATGCAACAAAACCTTCAATTTTGGTTGTTGTTTCTGTGTGCATTTTTCACAAAAAAATGAAAAACATTTCATATGTTAGGATATATAACAACAAATACTATTCAAAATAGAAGTTCTTAAATAGATTTTAAAAAAATCCTCCAAGTCGATTGGCATTTCAAATTGAAATACTCAATTTATTTTTTTCGAAATGAAGATAATTTTTTATAGTTAAATGCATGTAGTGGATCCATTAAATTTACTTTAAAGTATTATATAAGTGATTGTATCCTATTCAAGCTTGGAACTCGCTACACCCTGAAATCCTAGCCATTGAAGCCTCGATAACACATATAATACACACGGGTTACTCATCCTTTCACACATATTCAGATTCGTAAAAAATCAATAAACATGATACTAGGGTCCGAAACTGTACCTGGGATCTTCTCAGCACCGGTCAGGGGTGGATCTAGCTTTGATAACCAGGTGGGGCCTAAATTTAATTAACTAACGCATATTGCATAAAAAATCAAAATGTAATACTCCCTCCGTCCCGCAATGAACTTCCCACTTTCCTTTTTTGGATGTCCCAGAAACAAGTTCTCATTTCCTTAAATGGCAAGTTAATCTACATCAAAACAGTGTCAAACAATGCAAAAAAGTGTCAAACAGTATCAAAACAGTGCCAAACGGTGTCAAAACAGTGTCAAAACAGTAAAATTTACCTCATGGTAAGTTTATTTCCTTAATATGTGTGTAGATCAAACTGTGAAGTTCATTGTGAGACGGAGAGAGTATAATAATGTCTATTTCACAAAATTTATTTTCAAGTATAAAATAACATTCAAAAAAATGACTAACAAAAGTAAATATTTTAGGATTATGTGTTTTCGTCAAAATCAAATACAAAAAACATCACAATTTTACAATTGTTCTCTAGGAACTTTTATCGACTTATATCGCTTTATAATGACATCATTGTCAATTTATAAGTCAATTTTCAAGTATTATTACCTTTATTGAAAAATGGATCTATTGGTAATTCAACTAATACTAAGTAACTAAATAATTATATTTATATCAATACAAACCAATCAGAATTAAATTCATACTAATATAAATGAGGCTTGCAAATGACGAATTACAACTAAGGAATCGATTCACATTCATATTAAATTCATACTAAATGTTAAAATTAGTAAGTGGTTCACTCAAATTTCAAATGACTCAAATTGAATATAGTTCACCCAAATACACATTATGACTAAAACACTTGGCGATGTAGAAAGTAGCAATTAGCAAACTTAGAAGAACACAAAACAAACTTATCGGCGTCCGACGAGGCGGCCGGGCAATGAAGAGCGAAAATGGTTGGCGGCTGGAGAGCACTGGAGTCTGGAGGCCTGGAGTAGTCGATAGTCGAGCTCTAGAACAAAAACTTGCGGCTGTGTGCTGACCGTCCGACCGGAGACGAAGCCAACGAGCGGCAGCCGAACGGACCACCGTCCACGTTCCACAGACTAGTGATGTTGCGAAGTCGTGAAGAAGTTGAATGACTAAGGGTAAATCGCAGCGATTAGCGATGCGTCCTCAACTAATTGGCTCCTTGCTGATTTGGAAACTTGGGCCGTGTTTATGTTTGGGCTTCGCTGCTTGGAATTCGGACGGACAGACGAATTACATACAAGATAGTTCTATTGGTTATATTAAGTTTTTATTTTATTTTTGAGATTGGGCTTAATTTCTATACCTATATACTGATTAAAAAATACTCCTTCCGTCCCAGTCATTTCTTCCGACTTTCCTTTTTGGACCGTCCCAATTAATTCTTCCAACTTCCACTTTTGGAAAAAATATGTGGTTCACATTCATTCACATTTTTCTTACACAACTACAACCATACATTTCCACTTTATTCCTATTATCTAAATTTGCGTGTCAAGTCAATTTAGGAAGAACTCACCGGGATGGAGGTAGTGTAAATTTTTGAGGTGGGGCCTGGGCCCTCCCTTAGCTTGCCCTAGCCCCAATCCGCCCCTGGCACCGGTGATGAAAATCAAATAGATAAAGCTCACTCACAATCTCGCACTCAAACATCGTTACCGGGAAACTAACTTCGTCGATCACTTTCTCGCACAACATGGTCTTCACATCTCCATCTTGATGTGGAAGGGGCGGAGAGATGTGCTTGACCATTTGTCTGTGCGGTGGGGTGAAGGTGTGCGGTTGATATTTTGGGGTGAAGGTGTACGGTGATTTTTTTTGGGGAGTGAAGATTATGTGGGCTGAGTTTTAAATCATGTAGGGGTGAGTAGGCCCAGATCGAAATAAAATGGGTTAGGATCTAATACGAATTCAGAATAGCGGGATAATCTCATATAGAACTGACCGAAGTATAGAACGGGATTTAACTTTTTCAAAACAAAACTTTTTTCTTAAGAAAGTAATTGTGTTGCCTAATACCGAGTAATAATATTTTTAAAATAAATAATGTTTGCATGTACCGGTAATTTAAATAACATTATTTCTAAAGTATGACGGGAGTACATTTTAGATAATAAATTGTATTTAAAAATAAGAATAGTTATTATTTGTGGTCTATATATATATATATATGAAAATATATAATTTGGGTTTGGATCGGACTATTCAGGAACCG